TATACGAGATATTGTGCAAAATTATGCAGAGTTATTTCCAAAGTACTCGAACACTAACAAGGTAACCATTAAACATGGCGCAGGTGTAAATATTCATTATACGTAACATATTATGAATATGAATAATGTAAACGTTATAGGTACCATGAATATTTTTGACATAATCGGACACTATTTCGATTAATTTGCATTACAATGTCATATATGAAAATGCACGATAAATGACAAATTAAAGGAAAGAGCGTCAACTCGATCATTTTACAATTAACTAGAGAAACATCGTTAAAGTCGCAAACTTATCAAATTTATCAATTTTTATCGAAGCAATAGGTATCACATTCTTATTAACTCATCCGCTGTAATATCCGAATATTTTCTTGAGCAATTATATAAAATATTCCCCAGAAAGTATAAAAATTTTCATGAACAGTCACACTTATAATTATCAAATAACAAAAACACTTCCGCACGAAAATGGAAATTCTACGAATCAAAGGGTTGCGTAAATAAGCAATAAAAAGTGTTCCTCTCGATTACATTTTCAGCGTTCCTATCGTTAAACTGCATTTCACCAGGGGATGTTTATACCGTGCGTTGAATCAGATATTGTCCACTTAGCCAGGCTTAATAGTGGGATAGGTTAACGTTCGTTGAAACGGGTAAAATTGCAGCGAATCACGATCGCGTCGATCACCGGCGAATTGTCAGCGCGGGTAATCGGATTCGGAAATGCTTTCACGCGATTCATTAGACCGTCATTTTATATTTCTCGATGACGAAAAGTGGACCAATCGGGCAAAGTACGTTTAATGGCGGCGCGACCCGAACAGCGCTCTCGCCTGCCTCTTTCGAAACGATCGGGGAACATAATAACCGAATGGAAAAGGTAGAAACGAGGCAGGTGAAGAGAAAAAAAATGAGAAAGAAAGAAACTGGTACGGATGGTCGGTGTTTCAACGACGGGAACGATAAAAATCGACGGTACCGTACTTGACGATTTTTCCACGTTCCCGTTGGACGTCGAGGGCGGCATAGCTCGGCTCTCTGCGTTCACGAAAAGTTATTGCTTCGCGATGAAACGATACACCGGTTAACATTGTTTACGATTCGATTCCACGGAATCAATGTTCCAGCACGGGGCATCGATTAAAAAACATTCCGCCCGTACGTTTCACCGATCGTCTCGATGAATTTCCACCGCTCACTCTCTCTCTCTCTCTCTACTCTAACCTGTTCGAATCGAAACACCGCTCGCTCTGTTAAATAGGAAAAATCACGAACGAGTGTATATGTCTTCTATCGACGACACGTTGAACGCACGAAGCGATGGTTATTATGAAACAATTTCGCGACAATGCGCTATCGTACGAACTTTTTATCTCGTACGACCAGATTTTGCGTGCTTCTGAAGGAATTTCTTTCGGAAGAAATCTCGAGGCTAATACGTAAATCGAGATCGTGAGGAATACCGAATAATTAAAGTAAACCGCTGTCCTTATCGAAGCACCGAGACGAACGTGTTCGATCTTTTGGAAATGAATTCGGGAATTCGGGAATATAAAGCCGTGGAAGATTCATCGAATCGTAGTCGTTCGTGGAAAATACAGAAGAGTTCCATGGAACATTCGACATGCACGGAAAGGTACTCGTTCTCGTGACACTCTCTCTGGCGATTTTCCTGCAGGTGAGTGAAGATTCGTATCTGGAGTCGAGTCGCGAAACGCGTGACAAGACGAACGAGCGTGACTCTGACGGACGAGAACGATGTATTAAAGCATTAAATTGAAACGAACGAGGCGTAACGCCTCGTACATCTAAAGGCAGAGTCACATTTGTCCGTGTTAGACGCGAGAAATGAACGCGTTCGCGTTCTCCTCCGTAGCGGAACTTTGCAATTTAAACGAATCGGCTCGTTTTTAATTCACATTGACCCACCGCCGGGTGACACGCTATTTCTCACGCTCGATAATAGACGCGATACACCGTCGATCCATTATTCCACTCTTTCGCCGGTTTTCGCTGAAATATTTAACGCTTCAAAATGGAATCAATAGTTCTTCTTTCTCTTCCGCTGTAGACGAATCAACCGAGTTTCGCATCGTTCGCTGAAGTACGACATCGCCTGAGGCATCTGATTCACGGGGAAGATTGCACCGTCGCGAGTCAAACTGACATCTTGAACACTTTGACGCAGATTCGAAATTTAACCGAGTGCGTATGGAAAGCGACCCAGGCAATGAATCCAGCATTTCTCGAAGGCTCTTCTCAGCACTGTAACTGCAAGCAGGACAGTGTGTTCGACAAATTTCGTTCTCACTTCAGATCGTCTTTCCATATTAAGGAACCGGTTGACGTAGTTTGAAAGTTTCGGTAGATAAGATTAACCCTTTGCACTTGGTCATTCTGCTGTAGGAAAGGTGGCAAGTCGGATGTTGAGTGAAATTTGTAACGTAGAAATAAACTGTGCTACTTTATTTAACACTAGGTTCACGGACATTTCTTATATACCTACCTCTACGGACGAACGAAACCGTACATTTTCTTTAAAAAGTATCTTATTTTATTTAAAGCAACATATGTGGGAAGCAGGCATGATAAAAGAAGTCGCGAACACGGGCAATCGAATCTACTCGATATATTTACCGGCTGATCGGCACGTGCCGGCGGGCTTAAGTGTGTGTGTCTATGTGAGCATTAGCTCCTAGAATATTCTAACGTAACGCGACCAGGCAGGCAAAAACCCTAGCCCGGACGTGCCGGGTTTGGAAAAAATGCCTGGAACGTTCGGGCTGGGCTAGGATAAAAGCACGTGCCCGCGACACGCGGGAACAGTCGCAAAGAAGCCGAAAGTCAGTCCGGAAAGAGATGCAAGAAGCCACGATACGTTACGATAAGGCCTGTGTAGGCGCTACGAACTAGTCTTACTCGTCGTGTTATCTCTGTAACTAGCGGAAGAGACACCTTAATAAAACCCTATTCCTACACTATTAACTTCTAAACGAAACTATGTGGTATTATATATTTATGCAAAATGTATAACAAGCGTAAGAGGCAGGAGAGAAGTGTAAACGGTTTCTGTAATTGTCCTTGTGGGATTCGAAATGCGTCAAAATGGCGCGTCCCGTAAACGTAGTGTTCAATATTCGACGTACTCTCTATTTCGCTATGGCGAACAAAACGGAGGCTCGCAGATCTGCTCTGTGTCTCGGTTAATTATTTACCAGGTGACAATTACTTCACGTCGCTTCTCAGCCGCCACTCGATCGCAAAGGGTTAACGTACACGTAAAGAATTTTGTGCGATCGAAAGTACCACGAATAAATCGCATCGAAGTGCTAGAATTGTAGGAGATTTTCGAAACGCAGGAAGTAACACGAGTACGAAAGAATTGCCACCATTTGGCGAGAGTGTCGAATAAAATTCCGCTCGGATCGGTGTTACAGAAAAGAGCACGATCGTAGAGAAGAGTCGAAAGAGGGGACTCAGATGTGGAACGGACGAGCGGCAAAACGTATGCTATCTAACATGTGGCAAAAGTCCGTAGCGAGCTGACTCGACACAGTCCGTTTGCCTAGTGAAAGCGGTACGGTAATAATTGAGTTTCAAGCTTAATTGTATGGTTTAGGTTCGGCTTGTTTGCCATGATTTAACCCAAACTAGAGGTGGCGGATCGCTCTGATCGCGCAGCCGGATAAATATAACTTCGTTAAAACCCTGCACTCTTGTTTCCAACAATGCCGAGATTCAACGACGTCGTAATGTTTGGGTAACACTTCGAGGTAAAAGTTGCAGGTACCGAAGGTAATTCCACGGTAATACCGATTCGTGTGCGTATCATTTTCTAGCCTGTGCATTTTTCTCTCTTCTCCTTCTTTCTTTTGTCACACCTGTTTTCTCTCTGATTTTAGTTCTGCGTTATGCAATTGTGTACGCAGTGAGTTTCTTTTTAACGAGGATGTTGATGGTGATTTTCTGAAGGAATGGATAGGTGTGAAATTAGGGGACTGTTCGAAGCTGAACGTTACACAATAGGTGATCTTGAAAGTAACGAGTGGACTGTGGATTTTTATGCATTTATAGGAAATTTAAAGGTGCAAAGTTGCACGTAATATGAAAAAATATAGAAAATATCCAAATAATACCTGATAGGTAAAATAATTTTCTACCGAATTTCTACTTTTCTTACCGTATTCTCGAAAATATGAATTTGCATAAAAATCTCATGAGTAATTAATCTCATACGAAGTACGATTACTTTGCGTTGCAATCTCACATTCGTACGTTTGAAATTTGGAAGAAATAGAAATGAAAAATTTTCGTGTAATCGTTGAAACAGATTCCTGATGAATCGTATCCTTTGCGCAATCTCCAGCTTTCCCACTATTTTCAACCACGCAAACGAGACCGTTCTAAATACCCTTGTTATTAATTCTCCGATAGGAAAAACGCAATTACAATTCGAAATTGCATCAACACGTTCTACTTTCTATTATCTCACGGTGACAGCGGAAATCAATCAAACGGGGCTATCAGAGGGGAAAAACAAATAGAACCAGCTTCTTATCTGTGCTCCATTTTATTAAATACAAAAATCAAGGTACTCGAAGAGGTAGGAGATCGAAAAAAAATTGCATCCTAGCCATTGTATTCGCCACGTCTGCATACACACATGTGCATACACACACGTGTGAATAACACGTCGGCTATATCAATGCCAACCGCTTGGCAAAGTTGGTCCCCGGTGGTTGTCCTTGCACAACTTTTCCCTTCCTTGTCCCGTGTTGACGCGATCGCCAACGCAATGTCAACGAATATGCGCTTGTCTCGCGCGTGAAACTCTCTTTAGAGAAAGGCTCGGTGCTCGGACGCCGAGTGTTCTTTTCTGGCCACGTGAAGTCACAAGCTCGTAGTCTGGCGACCGATCGATTTTTCTCTCACCTTGCGAGGAACAACCGAACGAAACGAAACGTGTACAAAGAGAGAGGAAGGGCTAGAACAGGTTACAATGTGTACAACGGCGCTTTCAACAGCAACGAGGCAGCGGTTCCGGCGGAAATGGTCCCAGAGGGACCGGAAACCAGCGCAGGCGGGGCCGCTGCTGCTGATACGACGACGTTACTTAAGGGTGCGCTGGCCACTGCGATCGCTGGCGTAATCAAATTAACCCTCGCCGACGCGGAAGCTGCCGAGCTCGAGCTAGACGCCGAACCCTCGATCCTGGTTGACTCTGTTGCGTCTGTAAACAGACCGGTTACAGAGATCTAGCGTAGCGAGAATGGTATTGATGCAGCTAGTTTGTGAATTCTGGCTGGTGTAACTGTTGTTCTTCGTTGTTCTGTTGTAAGGACAGTTTGGTAATGTGTTCAGGTTGTGCCTAACCGCGCGACATTTCCTGCTTATTTTCGCGGAGAGGTGCCACTCTGTTGTGTGGCGTCTTCTAACGTCGAAAACTGCTCGAAAGTAGTTTTGCTAAACTCTACTGCAGCGATTAGAGATGTTAATTATACGAAGTTTTCATTTACGAAGCCTAAGTATCGTTTGAAAGTTTCAGAGCCATTTTCCATGCATAAAGAGTTAACCCTGTCGTTACTATTGTTTTCGTTACTATTAATTCGATACTTAATTTCATCCTTCACGCACTTCTAGCTTAATTTAACGAACCGAATTTTGAAACGATACGGCCAAAGTAAGAAATTCTCCAGCCGTGGTTAAAAATTGACCGTCAGTCACTCAAGTTACGCGTCAAAATCTGCCGTAGCGAAAGGGTTAACGTGATAATTCGATAACGTAGCAAATTCTCCAAATTTTCGTATACTAGCGTATGCACCCTCCAAAAAATTCGTAATTTAAAATCCATCGAGCAATCACCTTACCTGTTAAAAGAGCAGATCCATCACTCGTTCGTTCCACGGTTACCGTGCTAGAAACCGACGCATTGGCGACTGCAGTGGACGCCACACTGACAGAACTGGTTGCAGCGGAGGCAGCAACAGTCGCAGGTTCGGCTGTCGTGGCAGCAACAGCGACCGGTATCGGCGGAGCAGTTGGTCCAGCGATGATTATGGGTCCGGTGGAGGGACCTATAACAGCCTTAGCAGACGCTACGCCAATTGTCTCGGTAATAGTCGTCGCGTTCGCGGTCGCTTCCAATGATTCTTCTGCGTTTTCGATCGCAACAGTCGCCTCTGCTGACGCTGATGCAGCAACGACTCCTTTCTTTGTCTCTGCTCTAGCTGACACTGCATTTTCGGTGTCTGCGACAGCTATGGAACTAGCAGACGGCGCTACCAACGTCACCGGGCCTGCTGTAGCCCCTTTAATGAGCACCGAATCCTCTAACACATCGATTTCTAGAAGAAAGAATTAAGCTATCACACTCTACAGTTACCTACGTTCGCTCCAATTCTTGTCACAACTCTCGCACGCGCGTATTACACGCGTTCCCTGCGTACACTCGATTTTATAGACCCATTAAATCGGTAATTCGCGAAGGAAACACGGTGCTAATAAATTCTTCGCTTTACGTATCTCGTAAAAGTTGCACGGTAGTAATAAGATCAGACACTGTGTCGTGTTTCCCTGTACAAGTCAAGTAGCTGTCTGACCTGACCGATGGTCTCGCAAACTATCCGATTAGACTCTAAATATTTCTCAAATCTCCTGTTAAAAACTTTCTAAATTCTTCTATAAACTACTGAATTTTACTCTCAAGACGAATTACTCGGAGGCGCTGCGGTGGTAGTAGTCTGAGCAGTTTCATGGATCTTGGTCAGCGTTCCAGGCGATACAATTGTCACGGGACCAGAGGAGGATCCCTCGACGATCGTAGTCCCTGTCACCGGTCCAGCAACGACGGTTCGCACCTCCTTGACCGGCTCCGTTGGCAACAGGCTCACCGCAGGTGCTGCGACTCCGTAAACTGGTGCAACGTATACCGATTGTCCGACGCCCACGATCCCATGATAGGGCCAGCCGTTGGTAGCTCCGATAGATACCAGTAGGATCGATGCGGCAAATCGTAACTGAAAACCGCGGGATAAGGCGTGATTTATTAAGACGAGTATCAGAATTGTACTTCTGTTGCGCGTGGGCCGACGACGGTGACACGATAGTTGGAATACTTTCGCGTAATCTCGCTCGTAAATATCTCCTTTATTAAAACGACCCCCGTTGAACAGCTTCGCGCGCAAGGCTCTCTCTATTACGATAATCGAGCGTGGATATCCTTCTTTATTGGCCGACACGTTCGAAGGAGAATCTATCGAGACCAGTCTAATGAATCAGGATTTGAACTTTAACCTTCCATTCTCGATATGCCTGTTCGTGGCTCGTTCAGCTATGTAACTCTACTAGACGCATTACCTCTGACCAAGTTTAACACTCGAACACGTCTATTATACCCCCTTTGGCTATTCGTATCCGTGTTAATAACTCCGGGGAAATGATCGTCTCTCGAGTAACGTAACACCGAGGCAGACGTTAACCCTTTTAGGCTCTAGACAACGATCTATCCTTACCTTGGAAAAATTCTCACTTTCGTGATTTGTAATTATCGCTTTTTATTGCCTGCTGTCGACAAATTAAAATTAACTGTAAATCAAGACTTTTTGCGATATAGATCTATTTTTACGTTAACTCTTCGCGGTCGTATTTTCCTTAGGCATGTTAGTCACTCGGTCGATTATTGCCCAAAAATCGTATGAATTTTATTCAAACGAGTTTGTTCAAGCTGAGCGCGTATTACTATCATTTTTCCCCCGTTTCTGCGGGCAAAGGGCGTCCACAGAGCGTTTAGAAGGTAAAAACGCCTCTTCAGGAATATCCCGGGGTTCGCCTGCAAAGAGTTAAATTGCACTCCCGGTGAAAATAAATCTATCTGGTGAAAGAAATAATAATTCGAGGGAAATGATCATTTTCGACCAGCGTGACACATTGTGGTCACGAATGGAAGGTTGTCGGTTCGAAATCAGCAGTTCCTTCTCGCGAATTACCGCACGCACGTCAAGCTTAACGAGGATAACCAGCCTGATCACGGTTTAACCAGCGATCCATCGTCTTTGTCGGGTGGACGCGTCAACAGGGTGTACCGGGTGATTCGGGAACAATATCCGGCACGCATCCGCGGGGCCACGGATAGAGTCGCACGCATCGCGAATTTGCATAACTCGGTTTCCGGCAGACGTGCACCGCATGAACACGTCATAGCCGACCGCGGTTACGTGCCCCTACGTGGACAGCATTCGGCCAAACCTTTTACCAACCGGCGTGAACGCTTCCTCAAAGGAGGAATAACGTTGGCCACGGTACCCTACGTGCTGGCTAACAATCGCGACTGATCGAGGAATCGACAGCCGATTCGAGGCTTGTTTGGAGGGAAGGTGGCAGGTTGTCTGACAATGAGGGAGGGAAGGAGACGTTCTGTGAGATATTGGTCTCTTTGACGACAGAATATTACGGGGATATCGAGAAGTTTTGGACGAATTGGTTGGAAGAGTTGTCTTAACTTCGATATCGGGATATTCTGGGATGATTCGTGTGGGATAAACTCGTTCCGTGGGAATAGAGGACGGTAATTTGCAGAATTTAAATTCTGATTATTCAGATTACCCCTTTTCGATGGAGAATTTCCTAGAAAGAAGTGAAGCAGCGATACGAAAATCCCGTGTGTTAATTAACGAGAACTTGTTAAAGCCGAAGCAAATATTAATTGGAACGCTAATTTCATGCAATGCGCGCATTAGTAGGTTGTTCGGATGCATTAACGCTGTGAAATTTTCGGCGGTCGAAATGTCGGGGCATTATCAAAGGGACGCGACGCGACGATCGTCGAGGGTATTTAAACGGAATCAATGGATTACACGTCTTAATCAAAGTTACAGAACGCGGCCATACGTTTCAATTATCCGGCTGCCAGCTAGCACGGTGGCGCTCTATATATCAGTGAAACATTGGTTAGAGACAGGGAGCCGTTCATATTTCACAGGACGACACGAAAGTGCATTACGAGCTAACAGATTAAAGTTTTCTCATTAGAAACTGCTGCACGGATTTCTTCTCCCTTTTCCCTAACAATCCTTACTACTTCTATATATCTCTCTCTCTCTCTCGTCTTTCGAATCGTTTGTCCACGCTCGATGAGCCGCGATAAAGTTTCTTCCCGCGCTTACCGGCAACTTCATGGCTCGGCTGGTCCAGCCACGCGTTCTTTCCTCCTATTGTCTGTATCCCTCTATTATGTCCACGGAATTTTCCCGCCACTGTCCACCGTCGCTTACTGATCCATCTCGAACCAAAGCTGAACCGTTATATACTCCGTCACGTGTTAACCTTACGTTTGATGAGTAAGGAAAGAAAAATTGTCACCGCGCCCTGTTTTCTCGCGTAAAGACGCCTGGACTCTTTGGAATTCCTCGAGCTGGAAAGCAGAACAAAGACTGAGCGGTCGCTATTGACTCGCCGTGGACCAGTTTCCTGGCACCCTGTACTTTCGATTATTAACATTTCACGGGAGGAATTTGAATTTTTAGGCAGTTCTACGTTTACCTTCATTTCGAATAACAGATCCCTTTTCTCAGATGTTCGCGGTGGATCAGAATTTTCCCCAAGGTTCCCTAATTCTTATTCATCGCAGTAGATTCCAATTCGACACTCAGTTGTCGTCCGTCGTCTAATACTGGAAAAATTGCAGGTTTCCTCTGGAATAATTTCCAACGACAAGGATCCCTACGATAAAACGATGCTAATCTATTCCAACCAGATACCTTGAAGACTACAACCACCATAGCACCGTCCGGTGCGATCTGTTTCGCAAACGGACAATTAGACTGTATTATCGTACCGCGCGAGCTCACCGCGGAATAAATAAGCATCGGTGAACAGGTAAAAAAAAAGACAAGAAAAAGGGCCGGATGAAAAAATGGTGAATTGGAGGCGCGTGGACACGGGCAATTGCTTTTCTATGTTGTAACATTTAACTGGACTTTCAAGGCAGCATTTCCTGCTTTTCTGTATCGAGAACGATCGAACATTTTAGTTTATCAGGCTGGTGCAGCGGCGTTATTCAAGGCCGTCTCAAGCAGAATCGAAAGTCAATTTCGCAATAATCACCAACCATTGCATCTTGCAACGCTATCCCTAAATTCTACCCGTCGTTTATATGAATTTTATCTATTTTGTTCCCTCCCCCTGCCCCTTCGAGGTTCCGACGCTCGCATCTAACGATAGAACAGAAACGAGAAACGCGTGCGCGAAAGAATTTCGAAAAAAGTTTTATGCATACACAGACACATATACATGTACACGCGCAACGGAGTAAAATATGCAAATAACTAGTGGCCCCGTTTCCAAAGCGAAACTTCTGCAACATTCGCGCTGCATTGCGTGCGCAATACAGGCGCGCGCCATCGAGATTTTCTGATGCAACATTGGCGCTGTGCGAGTTCATCGTTTTAGATCGCTGTCTTGATTTACGGATTCAAGTCCCCGACCACGCCCGCTCGCGACACGGCCGCCGCGATAGCCTGGGCCGCGCTATGAAACACACCGACTGACACGCGCTCGTACGGGGTTGATGACGTATACACCTGGTTTCTACTGTATAGGTAGGAAAATAAGAGTATAAAAGACAAAGTCGTGGCTTGGATTTTCATCAGTCGCTTGTGATTTCGAGTTCGAAGAAGCTTAAGCAACCCAACAAAACCCGTCAAAATGAAATCCCTGGTAAGACACGATCGACCACCAATCGGCACACGCTTTGTAATTGAGCATGTAACGACAGATCACCATGGTTGGACGTCCGTCGTATTATCGATTGTTAAAGAGGAATTGATTTACATTGATTTATTTTGTATTGTATTGTATTAACTAGAGGATTTTGTGTGATCTTTTTTAAACAGTTGATCCTCTTCGCCATCGTCGCCGTCGTCGCGGCTTTCCCTGAACAGGAACGAGAACGCCGTGGAATCCTCGCGGCCCCAGCTCTGGCCGCCCCATGGATCTCTCCCAAAATCGCTGCTCCCGCTGTGGCCATCGCAGCTGCCCCTAAGCTCGTCGCGGCGCGTATGTACCTTCACTTTTCGTGAATTATGTCGTCGATACCTCGAGAAGAATCTCCCTTAACCGATAGAAACTTCAATTTCAATTTCAATTTTATTCGGTTTCTTTGTGATTTTCTGAAGAAGAGCTCGTACCTTTGAGAATTCTGAATGGCGTCATTGGATTTTCTACAATTTTCCAATCTTTGGAAATTCGGTTGTTTTGTGTGAATTTCGATTTAAGAAGATTGACAGTAATTGAACGAATGTCTCGTATGTCTACACAGCAGCAGTCGTAGCCGCACCCGGGTGGGGACTGAAAGGATGGTAAATGACAATTTAATATCCTGGCGTAACTGGACCTGAAGTATTACAATGAACATCGACGATGGGATACGTTCTCATTGCCCTAAATTCAAATTCGGCGATTGGTCACACCCGACACCCTCATTTCGGCCGCAACACTGATCGATCCCCCGTAATCGGCACCATGGATAAATTTACACTTTCCCCCCTTCCTTTTTCAACTATAAATTTCGTCTATCAGATAATAAACTTATTCTAAAAAATTACAAAAAAAAAATCTGCCTTTCTTCTGTTTCACACCATACCTCAACCTCGTTGATTAACGTAGATTAGGTTAAGTTAGAGATTAAGTAGCTAGCTAAAAAACGTTTTCGTTCAAATTGTCGTTCATCCTTCGATTTTTCAATTTACTTGTGAATTATCGCAGGGTACATTGACCAGCGTTAATGACGTATTCAACGTGTAAACATTCCTACAATCCTACAATCGTAGAATGTCGATAACGGCAACAGAATGCAGTTGCATTCAACAATGTTCCAAGTTGGCCGGTTTGCCGGACGAATCGATCTGACAACTGGTCCGCGCACGTGAAAAGTAATTGACGACTGATAATTAAACGTGTTGCACGGTTGTGTAGTACAACCCGCACCTGGTGTTGCTGCTCTCTTTATAATGGTGGTTCGGTGCGATTGCTTTTCCATATGTATCCAGTTTCGGAATCTATGGTATACACATGTTTGTTGGATTTTCCATTAGCGCATAGATATGTTGGAAATGGGAACTGGCATGTTGCGTTCAATGCTTCTCACGTGAATGTGTAATTTAGCGATAAGTGAAAGAATGGAAACGAATTGATTACTCTTTAGATTAACAAATTTTTTTTAAATCTTTAAATTTCCTTTAATTCTTGTTTTCTTTAACCCTTTGCACTCCAAGCATTTCTTCGTAAGATTAATGGTGAAACTTCTAAGAATCCAAAGTTTTGTTTTGAAAAAGAAGAACAGAAGGATATTTAACGCTTATAAATTTACTTGCATCTATTTCTTCTATTAATCTGCATTATTTTGATAATATAGAAACACCTGAATTTTACATTTTAAAGTTCTCCAGAGTGCAATTCTGTTTAAATAAATTTGGTTTCTTTTTGCAACTTACTTAATTTAGACTTTGTCCGTTATGAATAATTCTCTGTTTTAATTTGAGTACAGTAAAAGGAGGTAAATGAACAAATACTTATGAACAGTGCTATAGTTCTTGTACCAAGTTATTATTATGACTAAAATGGTTTCACTCCTGCGTAGAATATTTTCCTCCAGAGATTGCAAGTCTAATTTCTCAACCTGTCCAGATTGATCGCGTGAATTATCTCTATGAAGACCGCTAGGCCACACAAGTGGAAACGATTCCATTATATCACGTATCCTTTCCTTAGCGAGTCGCGGCTATGGCCGAAGGAACACCAACAATGCGTCTAACAATCTAAAGTAATTATAAACTAGAGCAACTGGTCCTGGAGGAACGCCGAGTGTTCGATAACTTTTATACCCGGCCGTGTAAACAGCTTGAAACTCCAATTAAACCTCGAATCGTTTCCATTCAATTATCGAGATTAGGAAGTTCAAGGATTAAAAAGTAATTGGAAGAAGAAGAAAAGTAACGCAGGTAGCTATGGTGGAGCTTCATTTATTAACGTATAAAAGCGTAACAGGGATATGGCTAGTTACAAAGGAAGACATTCGCGGAAGAACCTCGGAGAAACTCGAACGCGTTGTCCGCGCGAATCGAACAACAGAGAATGATTCTTCCATCGTTTCCACATCCCACCGAGTCAGAAGATCCTGAAGAATCGTTCGCTCCAAACAACGTTCAGCTTTCGATCGAAGTCCCGCGGATGGAGTAATCGTTTGAGAGGTCGCTTGCAGGTTCACGAGAGAGATCGTTCGAGTTGTCTTAAGCTCTTGGGGGGTCGAGAATCCGGGGTTGTCGTTCGTGTTCTACCAGAGTCCTAGTACACCAGCTCCAGGCGCCACCACTGCTCCCGAGGGACCAGCGACAACCGTAGGACCTTTGAAAGAAAACATTTTCCCAGTTTCACTCCTCTGCAAACTTTCGACGATAAGCGACGAACTGCCATCAAATTTGATCTTCTACGACCATCGACGTAGTCTAACACGGCGATATCGGAATCAAATTAATCTAATCACTGTTATTACCAAGGAATTATCAATTGAAACTACGCTAATACCCAGCTATCTACCGTTACCGCAAGGTTAATCTGGTCTATCAGCCACTTTACTCGAGATTAGCAAACATCACGCGTGAATTCTACACGTTCGATCGAAGTAGGCTGCTCCAAGTTATTAGATAAAAGCAAGTGTTACCGGCAGCCGGTCCCACGACTGCAGCAGAACCAGCAGCTGGTCCAACGACAGCGGCGGAGCCTGCGACAGGCCCAACCACGGCCGCGGATCCAGCGACAGGCCCGATGACCGCGGCTGAATGAGCCAGTGGTCCTGCAAGTGCGACTCCGGGTAGCACGCCACCAAGCACAACCGCTCCGTTGTGTCCCCAGCCGAGGGAACGACGCTCACGGTCGGGGCTGGCTGACGCGACGGCCAGGACGGCGATGAGGACAACGATCTGAAATCCAGGTTCGACGAGATATTTAGATGACGGTCTCTTGGAAATACGTGGAACAGAAGATGGTTAATTTAGAGCACAAAGTATGATGTGAGGAACCGGGAAAAAAATTAGACCCAATAATGCGGAATCGAACCCACGACACCGGGGGTGGCAAGCAGAGACTCTAACCGCTACGCCAATAACCCCTTCTCTATTTTGTCTCGTTAATGTCCCTTATTAGGGATTCGGTATGATTTTACAGATGTGTCTTTTTTTTTGCTGATCTAAAGTTCCAAAGTTCTAAAGTTTCTTTGAATTCTAAGATTCTAGTAACGTTGTGCCAGACAATGACACAATGCTTTCGTAATTCTCACCGACAGTTAGCTACTGTTCCAGAGCACAATGCAAAGAATCTATGAAGGAAATTGCGTGGACACTTAGTGTCTGTAAAGGAAGTTGTAGTTGTCTTTACAATAGAAAATTCAATCTCACCATGGACTTCATGTTGATTGTTCTGTTAGTCTTCAGCTGGCTGGTGACTGATGCTCAACCCTCCTGATACTTGGGCTTATATACGCGATCGACCACACGATCCTGGAGGTTACCGATGCAACCTTCAACCCCAGCATGGAAAGTGGGAATAATAAACGAGACAGGGTGCGGTCAACGTTGCACGGGATTAGAGTAGGCGACACTGCAGAGTTCCGGGTCCAACGTCACACGTATAGAAGCTGTTATCACACGGAGACGTGTTTCAGCCTCGAATCGTGCACTCGTGAGCATAACCAGTTACCGCAATAACGGTTGTTGAGAGGGAATAGAATTTTCCCCCCGTTGGTCAGCAACGCATGCCGCAGAAGCGAATTTGCTGATCATCTCTCTCTCTCTCTCTGGACGTACCGACCTCGTTCTCAGCATGAAACTCTGCTACAGCTTTGATAAACATTAATATCTGCGCCCGTGGGCCGCCTGTAATTACCCAGCGAAACACCAAATCCTCCGTTGCGAATTGCGCGCCAGTTTGCCGCGGAACAATCGGTCCAACGTTCCTCCGCGCGCACAAACCCCGCCGTCAATTTTAACGAATCCTTGTTGCATCCGCGCGGCTGTTAAGGGACATGTTTATCTTCGCTCCGATGCTGCGAGTTGAAATTTAACGAACCGAACACCTGTTTAACCGCAGTATGGGCCGGTAATGAGCCGCGGTGTTTGTCGGATGAACAGCTTCAACCGGGATGCAATGCTTGTAAGGTAAAGAAATTAGACCAGTTTTATGCTGGAAATCTACGTTTCGTTCGAAACTAGTGCAACTGCCTTGTCAGCTTATTTTCAAAGGTTGTTCAATGAAACGGTTGATAGTTTCGCTATTTCAGAATTACTCTAAACGAAAGAAATCGATTTTTATTTGAATACATCGTCCTGGAAGCGTTCTTCTCGAAACTTTTATAACGATAACAAAGAAGTTCTAATTATTCTTTCATTGGCATAGCTTGCTCTCAAATTGATTATACTCCACATTCTTCCTTGGTAACTTCAGCTCAGATTAATTAACTCGCTTGAACCCAAGATTGCTTCTATTAAAACTGGACCGAAACTTCCCTGTATTGTTTTCATCTTCCTCGCAGATACAGCTCGACGTCGCAAAAGCGACCAGGATATTAAATCCCGGAAATTAGGTCAAAATTACAGAACCCGTGTCGCACGTGATATCAAATCACAGAAAGGAAGCAAACCAATATACGCCGCGGAGCAAAAAAGGAGGAAGAAATAAAAAGGAAACAAGCCAAATCAATTTCCAGCGACGAGTCGTCGACAGCACGTGCACAGTGAGGCGGTGGTTGGCAAAGGATCCCCGTGGCAAAGAATAAACGAGCTTCGATCGCGAATAAAACAACGAAAACGGCCCTCGTTTCGCGTCGCCCTTTCATTTCGGCCCCGAGCATTTTCTCCCCCGACGATTGCCACGCGATGGCCCACGGTAATCCGTCCTTTGAATCTAGACGACGCGACGCGTAATTGCGCGCGTCGGATTTGGGCAACCGTGGACCCACGAGCTGTTACGTCGCTCGCCTTTTGAATTTACGAGCGCAGCCATGCCTCCGCGAAACGTTACACTTCCACCAGAGTTTCTCCTCCACGATGGAATACTTGGAGAAACTTGCGAGGAGAATGTCTCTAAGTTGCATCCGCAGTTTAGGGGAAAAGTTGGAGGGCGAGGATAACGAATTGATTTTCGTTTGGCCGGATTTTAGAGACTTTTCTAGTTGAGGGAGTAAAATTGAGTACACTGTGCCTCTAAAATTTGACGTCCTTTATATGTAAAATAATGGTACTTTGTTCTAAAATTTTTTAGAAGAAAATGATAAGACACTTCATTCAGTCTTCGTTATCTCATAATATAAATGTACCTATCTTGCAATGAAGAACGAATGCATTCTGAGTATAACTGAGCGATTAAACAAACCAAAAATTTTGAACGCTTTTGCTAATTTTATAATTCTGCCCAAATGTATTTACATTATTTTTAAAAATTGAAAATTTGTCGTGCTATTAAATGAATTTACGAAGACGTTAGTTAAAATTGAACGCTTCCGTTCCAAAAGCAACGCCGTTCATCATCCCAGTAATTTTCAGAGCACCTTACTTCGTCCAGCAGCGTACTCGCCTCGAAGGTGCGAAATATTTTCGCGATTCTTGTAACGTTAATCACACGAGAAGATTATTCACGATCTGCATAATTCAAGAACCCTCGCAGAACTCCCAGCCGCGTTATTTATTCATTCGAATCAATATTCCGCGCTTCTACATCCTTCCCCGCGTCTCCGAATCCCATCGATCCTAAACCAATAACCATTTCAACTTCTAAACCAGCCATAATGAGTCCCCGAGCCATGCAACAATTCGCCATTCACCGATGTCGCATTTTCCAGCAGCGCGCCGAACCCGCTATCGCTCTACTGGGTCATTTTATTATTCTATTACCGGGGCAGTTTGCAACCGTGCGGAAGTAAAATTCGGCCATCGACGTCCAGTTCCTATCGGTTCCATTCGCGATTGGCCCGTTTACGCGACCCACTCCCGACAGCCCCTGGCAGGTTTGGAATTTACCGACAGATTCGCTAGTTTCCCGTGGAACGGGGGAAAATCGCGGGGCGAAGGTGAGAGGCTGCGGAGATACCGAAAGGTTCGAATATATTCGTTTGATTCGCAGCTGCCGCTACTCTGCTCGGTGCTTCTTCTGGCCCTTTGTATCAAAGGCTATCGATTATCGGGGAACTTTCTGCCGCTTTCACCGTTCGCCGCGACGTTACATCTCGCTTCTCTTTCTCGTCGACGAACCCTCCGGGGATGATCGTCCATGCCTGACACACACCACTCGTGTCACACTCTTCTCTTCGCTGTAGGAAAAACACCGCGATTATTAGTGGCGACGTTCGAGTTCCGATTAATATTTCTGGAAACGAGAGTAGGTCGAGCGGATGAAAATCGTGGACGAACGCTGGTTTGATCGGGAAGCTTCGATCTTCCGTATGAAAAGCCTCTCTCTCTCTCAGAGGCGAAAGGGTGGTGCATGAACACATTGCCGATGAAAAGATTTTCCATCTTCGTAAGTGATGCGCGTAATCCTCGTCTCTCTGTAGAGGTAAACTAGAGACCTAGTTTCTAGATTGCAGGTTTATTACCGGAAACATATATTCGTCACGGTTGTACTTCCAATTGACGATTGGTTCGATACGATTCCCTCTCGTACTTTGTTTAGATAAACGCGGCAGATCGGCCAATTTCGATTTCATCAGAGTCCTACGATCAAATCGCTATTTATTCGCTCGATGAGTCGATACCTTCCTGAATTAAACAGTTTCAAACGTGACAGAATTATATATTAATTTCACCCATGATTTTTCTCCTTTGCTATTTCGTTTGTCGTTCAACGATTACGCGGCGTGGAGCCGTAATTAGGTGGCGGAAACAATTAGCGATGTTAACATTGGCCGTGGTCAGCCAAGCGACGCGATAATAAAACCGATCTCGGGCAAACGTTTCGCCAGATGAAACACACGTGTGTGTGTGTGTGTGCGTGCATAGGAATAGAGGAGAGACGAATTAGGCGAGAGAACGCATATGGATATATATGCAGAACGTCATGTACGATATTGTGCACAGTGTGACCACGAGATAGTTGCGCGCGTGTAATTTTGTCGCGGTACTATGCTCATTTCCCTGGACATACCGTTAAGCCGTCGCGTTTGAAGGACAAAATAGCATTCAATTAATCGACAGATCCGTAGTGTCCCTAGATACGTCGTGTGTGCCTGCAGCCATGTCACAGCTTGAATACCAGCGGTTCGAATTAGTCAGGTTGAAGGGGATGCTCGTAATCTGCGGTTCTGGACGAGGAAATTGTTCAATTTTTCGATCGGATTCAAATTTCGAAGCGATTTCAAGCTTAATGCGTTCGACGATGCACGACGGTCTCCGGAGATGCAAATTTTGCTCAACTGTCAGAGTATACTTTTTTATTCAATGCTCAAGCAAAGTATTGTAGAGAAGGGTTAAAGTGTCAGGAATTGAAATTTATTGGTATTTTTCTTGCAATTTTTCTGGAAAATGCTTTCAATTCTTTGCTGAACTTACGCATTTCAGTTTATTAAAGAAATAGCAATTTTTCCAAATTTCGATCGAAGCGATTCAAGCTTAATGCGTTCGACGGTGCACGACGGTCTCCGGAAATGCAAATTTTGCTCAACTGTCAGAGCATACTTTTTTATTCAATGTTCAAGCAAAGTATTGTAGAGAAGGGTTAAAGTGTCAGGAATTGAAATTTATTGGTATTTTTCTGAAAAATTCTTTCAACTTATGCATTCCACTGTTTACAGTAAGCAAAGAAAAAATTAGCAATTTTTCTAAAAAAAATTCTTTCAATTCTTCATCAAAGTTAAATATTCCACAATTTGCACTAAAGAAGAAAAAAGAAAATTTGGAATCTAAGCTTCTTCACCGTATTCATTACCTCATTGCCCCTATCCATCAATCCTCCAGCAAACACAACACGAAACTCGATCCCATTAATCCTCGATTTTTCCATAACGCTAATGTCATTCTGCATGTATCTGTTGTTGCGACATCGATTATCACGCTTGACATCTCGAGCACCATAAATCCGTCGCGTGCTCGCGGAGGACCGTTACAGGTCCTTGAGGAGAAAATCCGTTCCACTCTCGTGGCCGCTACTATTAGCAACAGCACGGTAGCGGTTCTAAACGCTGTTGAAAAAGGGCGTCGTTCGATCTGTTGCGACCGACCAACACCTCAGCCGCCGTACTTGACAGTGAACCGATTATACTCGCATTATTGCGTCTCGCAGCCACGCATTGTCCCACCGACCGGTTCACTTTCGTCATTCGTTCGTGGATTTTCTCGCGTAGGGGAACAACGACGGCGACGACGGATGCACACAGGTGCATACGTACACTCTCTGTGCTTCTCTTTCCTCGTCTCCGGGACCCACTCGTGCTCCACGGCAGAGGTGTACGTTGAAATATTCATGAGAGGGTCGTGAAGAGCGAGAGAAAGAGAGGAGGGAGATCGAATCGAGAGTTGTCTCTAAGCGCGTTCAGAATCACGCTTGCAAAATTATTCGTACGTGCCTTTTTGTGTGGGAGCGTTCTCCGCGGCTTCGTTCAAGATGTATCGAGCGTACCTCTGATCGAACTTACCCACCGACGAATCAACTTTTCAACTTACTCGGCGCGATTAAGCGCGCGGCGGAATGTATCGGCGGTGTTCGATTTATCGATCGGAGGATTCTTCCTTCGCGGTCATAGGAATGTGGGAATAGTTGGAAATATCGGAGAGTTACGTACAACAGGTAGAATTAGAATATAGAGATTCGTTTATTCACGTAATTAAACAGATACATTTTCTAGAAGCGCACATTCTTTCGGATACGTATGAAGGCAGGGCGAGTGCCGAAACTAGGAATAAAGTGGTGTCTGTAGTTTTGAACGAAGCTTGAGGTATATCGTAAAAGATTGAGATGTTCTTTATTGAGTAACTACCAGGCGTGGCCTCCAGCAATGACCGCTGAAGACGAGGCTCCAATGACTGCTGTCTTCGTGACGGGACCAGCGACGACCGCGGATGTTGCTGGACCAGCGACGACCGCGGCTGCTGGAGCTGCTAGTACCGCTGGTACCAGTGCTGGGGAAACTAGACCGTTACCTGAAGATTTGTTTGTCAGTTAATCGTTACCATTTTATGCGACAGTCTTTTTTTTCGTGACGTACCGAGAACAACACCGAGTCCAGGGTTAGCAACGACAGCAGGACCAGCGACGGATCCAACGACTGCTGATGGCCCAGCAACGGCTCCGGTGACTAATGCAGGTCCAGCTACAGCTCCAGCCACCTTAACTGCTCCAACAGAGGCACCAGTAACCACTGCTGGGCCTACTGCTGGACCAGCAACACCCACGGCGCCGAGCAATGGGTTCAAAATGGCGCTGGGCGCGGCTGAGCAAACCGACACTACTGCCAGGAGCAATACCTGGTATATAATTAAAGATTCTTTTTAGTTAAATCAGCGTTAAGTCGACAATTGTGTATTGTACGTGATTATAATTGACAGGACTACTAGCAATCTGTGATAATTGCTTAGCATATTTCTTTATACGTTGTTGAAACAAAAAATAAAAAATCACAGGATTCAATTTTTTTTTCTATATGATTATAATTGACACTTGTATCACTAGGATTGACAATTTATAGCAATTTTCTGTATACAATTTTCAAGCAAAGGAAATTAAAAAGAATCAGGTTAATTTGCATGTTTCCCTCGCGATTTAATAGAGTTCAAATTGGAGCGAAGAATCTTACCAAGAACTTCATGATTGCTGCTTTGTTCCTTCACCGTCGTCTATCAGGTTTAATTGCAAGACTGCCAATTAACCCCGTGATGTCTGCTTTTATACGCCGTTTTGACCCTGAATCTGCCGGTTTCCTGGCATTTTTCCACCGGGTGGAAATGTCACACACCGTTACGAGCAACCAGGCACGACCCATTTCCATACGGAAGAATTTCCCACCGCGGCTGGCTATGTCTGCGTGAGCTATTAAACGCCACTGCGAAAAGACGGCGTCGAGTAGTCCCGTCGCGAGCCGCGGATCAATTGCGCACAACCCTCCGGGTTTCGGTGTATCGTGGAACGCCGTGGTCGGGAACTTCCAGCGTCATAACTTCGCGTCGTTTACGGGAAATCGACGTTGCTTGCGGGGGTTATCCTTCTCTGCTCCTCTTCGTGGAATTCACCCCGCGCGGAACTATTTGACTTAAGGATTTGTACTTGTTGCGCCGTCGCCTCTGATTTTGCAGCCGGAAACACTCGCTTTGCGATGCTAATTCGCGTGGAAGACGTGCTCGTAATTCTCCGGGGAACTCGCGTCGACTCTAATTCCCGTGGATCTCGACCAGTGTTTTCGGATCGTTCGAAATTCCGTAACTCCAGGCGGATAAGCACATTGATGATCAATTAGGAATTCGTGGTAATGATAGAAAATGATATTATTCAAGTGGTCTTTGTCGTTTGATAGGAATATACTTTTATTTCTGAACACCTTTCTTTTACAGTCCTTTCTTCTCTCTTCGCTCTTGCCTTTCATTCTCACTCACTACACGCATTCGCGCCACTTTTGTCGACGATTTTCGGCCAAGACGTCGCTCTTATCACGCGTGCATTTTCATTCAGAATTCGCACGATTTAACTGTCATACGGCCCAAAATCTCTTCGGTCCCACCTCACTCGATCGTGTCGCGATAGGCGCCACCCAACCTTTGGTATACGAATGAGTTTCCCTTTCCATGACCGTTAGAATACCACGATTTTCCCGGCCCTCTTCCAAAATTTCCTTACGACACTCGCATTCCACAGCATCCGTCCCCTCCAGTAGGGACCTATTTAAATACTGGTCCCAAACAGGGGTCGAACAGTTCAAGTTTTAGAATCTAGGAAGTCAATCTGTACGAAAATGATTGCAAATAAAGTACGTTAAACGAATCTCCGGAGTTACCTCCACGACAATCCCACTGTCTCCTCCGCTCGAACATTCTTATCTCACAACCTACAAACAGAATAGTAAAATTATCAACAGAGTACAAACTACAGACACGCGTTATAATTCAAGAGAAAAATGTCAACAAGCTTTAAACGTCCCCATAAACTCCCTCTGGTATCTCAATTTTCCAGCACTAAAATCGCAATGTCCACATAGCAAGCAGTTGACAAACGTTTACTTAGCAATACGTAGACGAAAGGTCATCGAGGTGTTATTCGACCGTTTGAATTTCATATTCGCCAGCGTTTACGTTCAACAGCGGCATAAACTGTCGGATTTAACGACTGACCGTACTTGTTGCTGTTCGTTCGGGAACGTCTCCCTTTGAGATGGTAATGCGCTAATAATTTCTCCCCGGTTCTCCCAAGAGGAAACCGAGACCGGGACGGGACTCGCGGAAAGGAGCATCCTTGTCGCTCCAGGTTTCCCCGGGGAGGAGCGTGTGATTGAAAACAGAGATTAAAGGAGGACACGAGGGGCTGGTAAACAAAGGCACGCGGAGGATATCTAGGAGGCTTGACAACGATCGAGAGAATACACGGCTGATTGGAGCGACGTTGAAGCAATTTCCTACAATTACAGGCAAAGGTGGACAGGTATCGTCCCACTGCGACGACGACGACACAATGGACCGTGAAATAGAGGCCGGCCAACGCCACTGTGTCGACGATAATATTCTAGGGGCTAGAACAATGCTTCAATCCCGGGACCGGTGGTTCACGCATACGGCGTCTTCGCTTTGACACTTGGACTGTGAAATTGTAGGTGACGTGGTGTGTTTGACTAGCGTTCCATTAGCGTCTCGATCTGTCTATATCGACGTTACGAGAATTCCTTCGTATTTTGTCGTAATTAAAGAAATTTGTGACATTTCGCAGGAAGCAATTTTTTTCGAGTAATTTTTTTCATTTATTTTCTCGTTGGCCGGTGCGCAGGACTTGTTAATTATTTAGCGAAACAAAGACAATACGGGAACTTCTGCGGCAGCCAGCCACGGTAGTCGCAATTACACCGGTGGGACGTTTCTACGCTCGAAACTTTGAGGGACGTTATTGTCCTCATTACAACGTTTGGTCTTCTGCTTCTACCGAACTCTCCTGGACACACGTTAAACGAACTTGTTCACCGTGGTAATTGAAATTTACGGTACGATGTTCGTCCGTTTCTGTACACCTACCCTTTAACCACCTTGCTTTTCTGCGCGTTTAAACTGTACACGAGACCGATTATGTTTTACGTGTACCCGATAGAAGGGAACGATAACCAAGCGGGAACAATCGCGGAATTGATACGACTTTCCATGTTCCTCTCCAAAGTGGCATGCTTTTATTATTACATACGATAGACATATAAAAGATACATTGTTATGTACACAGAATAGATATAAAAAGATACAATGATGGAGGTACTAGCGGTAAATGACGGAGATCGTGGCGCGGTCGGTTTCAAAATGGCAGGCATCGGAGGAGATCAGTCGAAGATGTCGTTTTTAAGGGGTATCGGTGTCCATGGTGTAACAACGGCGGCGGAGAGATTACCAGTGTCCATCGGCGCGAAGGATTCCTCCTACTCCAGCTGGTCCAGCTGCTATACTACCCGATGGTCCGGCGATCAAAGCTGGAGCGGTGATAGGACCAGCCAGTGCTGCGGGTGGTGCATGTGGTCCAGCTAAAACGGCTCCTGGAAACGCGGACAATTACTCCAATTACCATACAAACCGAAAAGAAGAGAAACTTTGTATTACAACACCTTCTAAACAAGCTCACTGACAAAGTAACAATAAAACAAACAAAACTTGATACATTCGTTACAAATAATAAACGTCGGAACGTGAATAAAAGTCGAGGTATAGTATGCGTGGTTGAATTTATGGACCATTGTGGAGGTCGTTGCGGCACATGCATCTTACCACAGAGCCATTACTAACAACGGTACACGAAACATGCTCGGCGTTACAACAATATCCAATCAACCAAACCGAACAGAAGAAACCTTACCGTTCGAAATCACATTGTACGCTTATCTTCTGCTAGCGTTCTAACCTCTTATCGCGACAATCTATCTCTTCCATTATCCCAAGTATGCTCGGCAACGTCACCCGGTGAAATTTACGAGTTTACTCACCCCAAGGGTTCAGAAGAGCGGGTGCAGCCAGCGCTGACCATGGAGCAGCGGCACCAACCACGCTACCGGAAACTAGGGAGGGTCCAGCAACTGCGCCAGTCACCACAGCGCCACCGTCCACGGCTCCGGAGAGGCGAGCAGGTCCAACCACTGGTCCAGCGAGGGCGGAGGGCCCTACGATCGGGCCGCTGAGGGCAGCGGGGCCCAACAGAGGGCCGGCTAGGGCCGCTCCTGGCGCCAAGAGCGCAGATGGCGCTGCGGCCGCCACTGAGAGGGCCGCGACGAGGAGAACAGCTACTAGGGTGCACATGTTGGGCGGTTTTCGTGTGTTTTTTCGTGAAGCTGCTGGTACAGATTGCCTCGATGGCTGGAGTGGATGTGCTGGCATCTGGCTGGCTCGATGGCGCTTTTATAGGGGCATTGTCTAGCTGGTGAACTAGTGTTTGCTCCCGCCAACCCCTTGGGCGGGGCACAGGACACGCCAAACATTCTCTGCAGGCTGGGCGCGTGGCCGTTTCCCCGGCTTATCAGCATTAAGACAGTCATCGAGGCAGTGGCGACAACCGAGCAAACGCTTAACGCCTCGCAGCCCACCCGTGCCCCCGGAGGTCGCCCGCTCCAATTCAGTTGCATCCGTTTCAGAGCGACCGTGCTGTTTTTACGATTGGCTCCTGGCCTTGCGTACGGCACGGCACTCCATCGAGCAGAAAGATCGGTGTACCGATATCGGGGAAGTTTGACTGTTTAATGGGTTAAATTGTTGGTTTTTAGCAGTCACGGTCCGAGGGGCAGGATGCTAATAATGGAGAACTGCGGTTCCGATTATTTACCTGCCTACTGTCTTCGTTTTTTTTTTTTTTTTTTTGCTTTAGAGGTAATTCTATCACTGCTACTCTAGAAGTTCCAAAAATGGAATCGAGTAGAATTCCTCTCGTTTATTCTACGAACTCGATAGAAATCTACCGTAGCTGCATCGAAGATTAACATCAACGAGTCTAATCATCCCGATGAAAGGAGAGATACCAGTAACAGGTTTCATTGACGAGTTCATGAAACATCAGGGTTAATTCGAAGAAACCTGTCATCACGACCTTCGCGAGAACCTTCACGAAGAAGATTCATCTTGTCTTTGTTCTGTGCGCTGTGCAAAGGAGGATAGATTGAATTGGATGAACGTTGTCGAGGTATTGTGCATCCGTTTAGGCGAGGCACTGGGTCTCGTTGCCCACGCGTCGTCCGATTGTCGCCTGGAATGACGGTCTCATTGTAGTCGGACACGCGTGTGTCGCGGTGGCACCAGCCTCGCAATGGATCACCGAGCCCCGCGCCACGGATCGTTTGGAATATCATTGTTGGGCGTAGCGCGCACTTTCGAAGGTGGCAAAGGTGACCGGCGACGCGATTGTTCGAATAATTGTTCCGCGCGAGACCGTTTCGAGGGGCGGCTTTTTAATGGCACGCCTCGTTTCAGAGAACAAGGGAAGACCCGAGAAGTTGCCTTTTTCTTAGAACGCTTGAAAAGTAACTCGCTCTTTTTCTCTTTCTTTCAGCCGAGGGAAAAAGACTTTCTTCGTTCTGGAAACGAGCTCCCTTTAAAGATCGATCTCGTTGCCACGTTTGGAGAATTTTTCTGTGGGTGTTGTAGGCTGGTCAACGTGTACATCGTTGAAAAATTGTATTCTCCGTTTCGTAGCTTCGCTTCTGCGGGCATTTAACGCTAAGTCCATGGAACAATGAAATTTCGAAGGATTTTCCGTGAAAATCGCGGTACCGAAAGTTTCATTCTTCTCTCCATTCAGATGGTAAAACAGATATGCGTTATTCTGGTGTTAAATCGTTGTGAAATTGAAATTTCACGTGGTCAGAAGTAAACATCAAAGTCACCAGGTAGGGAACCAATCGTTTATAAAGAGAATCGAGTACAGGAATACATATATCTCGGTACGACAGGTGCATAAAGGAACGTCGGATCAAGATATTTGATTTACGATCGCGGGCGATTTTTACACGCGACTATGCGCGATTTTCGGGGTGGCGCGCATAGAAATGTGGAAAAATAGCGGCGCACTGACAGATGTGTCACGGTGGATTGTTCGTAGCGGCGGCGAACAGCGCCGTTGCGTTCCCGTCGTTGGAAATGATGCGTATCCTGGCTACGTGTAGCTGGTTCACCATTACAAAGCCTGAAAATGGGAATAGAGGAGGATTACCAGAGTCGTTTAGACAGGCGAAGGCGACAGAGTTGATTTTCTGTTCCGACAGTGCTCATCGTTCGATTCCCCGTTTACGGCGAATTTATCGGAAAGAAGTCTTAGAAACTTGGATAACAAAAATTACCAAACGTTCTGTTGGATTTAGGAAATGAATTAAAAGGTGGTATTTCGATTATAAAGTATTCTTTATTTTTATACGCGAGGAAGACACGTCAATGCGCAATGATAAGAGCTCGACAAGCGCTAAAGAAGAAGCATATCAGCGTCCACAACAGATGGTTACTGTCATTCTTCACTACACACGCACTCACTTCTCGTAATAATCCAACACAGTCATACCGTAAAAATTCTCCGATTGTTAATAATGAAATATATGTGGGATTTTGTTGATTACTTTTTATGATTGATTGATTATCTTCATTTGTCACAGAAAATGTAATTCGTTCGTCAAACACACACTCTTTTTCTCGAGCACACGCATTCACACACACACTCGCACACGCCGCGATCGGCTTGACAATCCAAGTTATCGTCTAAACATAAACAAACGCGCCACGCACGATCGTCTTTCATTCGTTCAATTGACCCTTTCATACCAAAGACCCCACATATATGTATCAACGACACTTCTCTTAGACAAAAAGTGTATTCTTCTGCTCAAATCTAAGATAAACCATTTTGTAACCATTCAACTTTCCTCCAAAATTCCACCAAAGTACTCAATTTCCTCGAATGCAGACGAAAGAACAAAATTGCAATGCAACAAAGAGATCGTATCTAGATGGTCGTGTCGACGCAATCTTTACGCGAATCCAACGCGACGGGGCATTTTTCTTCAGCATCTGGGTGCGGTGTGCCGTTGTCTCCGATTCGATTCCACGTTGCGTCATCCTGTTTACACCTTTTTCCACGGTGCAGCCGAGCTTTTTCACCCCGTCACGGTCCAGCAGATCAACAGCCCCGCCCTTACCCCCGATAAGTTCACCGACCCACGTGTTCACGTGCGTCGCCTATAAAAGCTCACTTAGGATCAGCTTGTACGGCAATGTTCCTCCGTGATGGCTGATGGAAAGTCGCTGCTCGGAATCTTGCCGGCCCCCGTCGTCTCCCGGGGGACACTTTATGGCTGTCAACGTAGCTAGGTGAAGGAACGATCGGGAAACGCCCGATGCCGCCTCCGACGAATCGATCAATCTACCTCTAATCGAATTATCCTCGCCGAACCTCTCTCTCTCGACAGAGGCATCACGGACGTACCTGATCCTCGAACCAAAATGGCGTCACGTGGTATCCATCGACGACGAGAAATTTCTATAAGATCAAGGTAAGATCACACGTTTCCACGTTTCGCTGTAATTTTCGAGGATACGTTGCCGGAGACTAGACTTGATTCGGTAGAGAAGCGAGAAACTAAGCTGCGACGCGTACGAAATCGCGACGTTTCTCAATTTCCGCGGTGATGTTGCCACCGGTGCAACACGAACGGAGAAATTCAGTTCGCGTTGTGAATAACGATCGAGAAGCCGAGGCGAGAGAGAGAGAGAGAGAGGACGGAGAGATTTATCCCCTCGTTTCTGGACCGATTCTCTGACCCGGGAACACCATATAAATATCCCGTTTGCCCTGCTGAAGAATAACGAGTTGTTTCTTCGACTAGGCTAACGTAGTTCCATGTTTAAGTAACCGTGGATCCACAGGGCACGTTCGATCTATATCTTTCTCGACGCTCGTACGAAAGAATACACGTAATATTCGGACGCTCTTTAGAACGGTGTTACTTTTTTGAATTTCAACTCAACGACTTGAGTTTTCTCGAGAAGTTAGGATTAGTATACTAGATGACGGCTACAAAAAATTTGGAAAAAATTGCAATTTGTGAGAATCGCGAAGAAAATTGTAAAGGTCATTTAACAACTTTTTTACCTGATCTCGTAAAGAAAACTTAAAAAATACGTTTTGTAGGTTCTATGTAAATTATACGCATGCTGAAAAGATCGTGAAAATCGCACTGTCTCACGACTTTCGGCCTAAAACTGTAGTAAATCTGAAGATTCTTTCTCCATCAACCGATTTCGATGAAATTTACTAATTCTTCCAATTTCTCAAAAAAAAAACTCAAGTCCTTGGGTTCAATTTTGAAAGAATTGTACCGTTCCAAATAGCGTCCGAATAACGCGATCGCGCGAAATAACGACCCCGTAAACCGAACGAACATTCGTTACTCCACCGTCCAACTCTTTCTCTCTTGATTTTTGTATTCCCAGGCCATTCATTCGGTGCATCGTCGACGGCGTATGAGGGACACGGATCCAACGATCGACCTTCCTTCCTCTCGATCTCCGGCAACTCACGAGGCATTAACGATCCAGCCGCAACCGTATCTACCTCGTTATCGGCCACACCTTCCATAGTTCGCGGCCGTAACGGCGCACACGGGGCTTCGCGAAAACAATCCGACCTTCTTGCCTGATATTACGAGCGAGACCGACCAGCTGGAGTGTACAACAGTAGTCGACAGAGATCTGTCCCGCTTGTATATTCCTAAGTTCGACTGATTTATCGCGACCTGACGCGCGTTTCTTCGTCACCGCTCGACGGAGGAAACGCGGGCCAGAGAGTTCTGTGGGGGTGTTTCGCTGTGCTCTCACGTTTCCTTCGGACAAATTTATTTGGACGAGGAACCGACGTAGTTTAAGATATTAATCGGTGTGTGTTTTTGATCAGGAACGTCTGTTAACCCTTTGCATTTGGTGAATTATTATTCAGGTACCATTTGGGAAATTTAGCATTGGAAATGTGTGAAGTATTGAAGTAAAAGGTATATTTGTTCAGTTTTACGATTGGAAGAATTTTAGTCGATCTCTGGAGTTTAGCGCGAAGGGGTAATTGACGAAACAGGAAGTTTGCGAGTGTATTTAACACTAGGTTTACGGGATTTCGCAAGGAAAATTACGGAAACCGTTTACATTTCTTTCCTACCACTTATGCTTGTTATAAATTTGATATAAATATATAATATCGCATAGTTCCGTTTAGAAGGTAATAGTGTATAATATGTTGTTTTTTAAAGGAAATCTGCGGTTTCATTCACGCGACAATTTGACGTAGAGACAGGTAATAAGGAATGTCCGTAAATCTAGTGTTAAGAATGTAAGGATAAGGGTAACGATAATTTTACTTGCAAAAGGAGAGCCACTTTAGTGGAATAATTCGTATCTATTTTGATCAACACAAAATGTAAGGAATTTTAATACGAATTTCTCGGGTAATTCGTTTGCGTGCTTCTCCTTGCACGTAATCCTTCATGAAACATCTCTCTGCTTACACCGAAATCTACCTCATTCGCTGTGAAATTAGGTCACGTTTATTTCAATCGATAACCGCGTGCACGGTGTGCCGCATCGAAATTGCAGAAAAAGCATATGTAACTATTACATTTCACAAGCCTCGATTGTTTAAACCCGATGCAATCTATCGGTGCAAATGAAAAATGTCGCTCGCCCCGAGAGCATCGGTACAGAATTTGCAGACCGGTGAAAATTCCTCCGTTACACTTGAAACGAGAAGCTGCAAGGAAATGTCGGCATCATCTCCCCGTTTCCCTGCACTCATCTCGAATGTATACACCGCTGATAATCAAAAGAAATAAAAACAAACGAAAAAAAGGAACACAGAAAAAAAAGATTCACGTACACGATACCTTCGGTCTTCTCTTTCAATAATTACGAGACCGCAATTCTTTCATGACCTATATTCTTTCCAAGAACCGCGAAACCGATATGTTTCTCTCCGGCAACGTGCTTCGTACAAAAGCTTCCGCTCTTTTTCTCTTGTCTTTATTTTCTCTGTCTCTTAAAAAAAAAAAAAAAAAAAAATGGGAGAAAAAGGAACGACAGAGAAAAAATACGCGCTGAATAGTGCAAATTGCGGTTCTGTTGCACATCGAGGTTTCTCTCGAAACTGCCAGTCGATCGTAACCGAGAGAGAGTGACCTTTCGAAATTCGTGCAGGTTCGATGCACTTTCCGTCTCTCGATGACGAAACGGTCGATTGATGCGCCGCAGAGAGGCCACGATTTTCCCATAAGAACGGAACCACCGTGCCATCCAGAGTACCCTCGTAGATATTGGGGAGTCGCTATCGCCGAATGGCTGCCGGTGATTCTGATAATAAATCTTCCAGGACGAGCAGAAAATGCAGGCTCGCGCGCGGTTAGATTCAGGTAGTTCTCACGATCGTTGCTGAATCTCGTGATAAATCGTACTCGCATGCAGGATCTGCTTCCCCTACTGTGTCTGCCCTTTTAGGGTGAACCGGTGATACGGTGTTTAGGTTTAGGGTTAAATGTTCAATTCTGGACGACTTTTAATTGTTGAACAAATATCGCGGAGGTCTTAGGCTACCTTCGTAATTTATTTTCTTGGTAACTTTGCTTTCTTCTGGTCTACTCCGCTTGTTATCAAAAATTCGAAGGAAATCAAATTTCTGTATTATTCAATTCTAATGAGAAATTTAGAAACCGGTGATATACCTACTCAAATAACTAATCTTCTCAATAACTTTTTCATTTTTGATTCGCTCCGCTTGTGAACAGAGATGCATATGAAATAAAATTTCTGCGTTACTTATAAAACGGTGATACACTCATCTACCTAATCTTCTCAATAACTTTATCTCTTTTTATTCACTCCGCTTGAGAACGGAGATGCATATCAAAAATTCTAAGGAAATGTTTAAATAAGAAATTTAAAAAACGGTGATCTACTCATCTAACTAATCTTCTCAGTAACTTTATCATTTTTTATTCACTCCACTTGTGAACAGAGGTGCACATTAAAAATTGGAGGGAAATAAAATTTCTGTACTATTTAATTCGAATAAGAAATTTAGAAACCGGCGATATACTCGTGTAACTAATCTCAGTAACTTTCCTTTCTTCTGGTGTGTATAAAAGCTTCTGTACCGTCAAAAAACAGCGACCCGCTTATGAACCTCAAGGAGCAATCCTCGTCCTATCCGGCAAACGAATTCACCGCGCGCCTCGCCGAGATTTCGAGCAATCTCTGGCTGACTGTTTAAAGGGAACGGTAGCTCGAAGCACGCCGCTTAAATGGCCATTGTTCCGCTGTAAAAACCAGGTGAAACGGTTCACGGGCGAAAAGTATCGCGATCTGCGGCGAGGATCAGGTCGACCTTAAAGAAACACACGGTAATTGTCGTGTACAGATTCCGCGATAAACTGCCTCGCTGGATGCTGAAACGACCACAGTAGAGAGACAGATAACCACAGATAAATCTAACCGTACGACCTTCTGTGAAATATGCACGCGTGGTTCGTTAGGCTCGTACTTTATTCAAACCTATCTCACCTGGAACACCTGTGCGTTCGCCCAACTCTAATCAGCGAATCGATATTTTTCCCCGTTAACCTGATCGTCGCGAAATCGAATCGTCGGGAGTGGTTTGTTCGAAGCTTGACAGACCGTGTCGCAAGTCACGCATCTACACTGACCTTACCCTTTTCTCTGGCTCGCGATATATCGTTCCGGAATCTGTGTCAGCGATTCGACGTCTGAACCGCCCAGTTCCATGTACGCTTTAATTGTCGCCTCGTGGCTCGATTCGGTGTGAAACGTTTCTACGAATTCACCACCGTGAAACGCGTTACAACGATAGGACGCGATAGGGATCGAGGGATCGATCCGGCGTTAAAACGTTTTCTTCGTTCGTTTCGATTGGTTGCACGGGTGGCACGTTTAGATCGTACACCAGTCACCTCTCTGTCCATTCGCAGGAATTTCAAATTTCCCCCGAAGTAATGGTTTGTAAATTGCAACTCGGATCGGAGCTGTAAAATCGCGACTATGTTTTCAAGAGGATAGAATCTGGGAGAGACACGCGTGCAATCGATTAAGCGAGGATTTTCATAGTTGCGCGAAATGGTAGGAGTAACGAGTTTGCGAGATGAAAAGGACGACCCTTTGTAACGGGACGATTCGATTAAGCGGTCGCGTTGACCGAAACAACGGGGTGTAATTAAAATCGTGTATTATCGCGTGTAAGGAGATCAGTGTTAAAGTTACAGCATAAATAGCGAGTTATCTAGGAATGTCTACGTTGCACACTATTTGTAATGTGTATATTCCAGAGGTACAAAATTCTTCGTATTTATATTCGTGTTACATTATCGTTAGGAGACTATAGGTATTCGAATGTATCGCGAGCGGGGAACGTCGTGAGATAATTCTACGAATTATCGATGATGTAATGGTACCTTCACTGATAGTTCGTAAGAGTTGACGCAATCGAGAGGTTTCTAAGCTTTCTTTCTTTCTGTCGACAGTACTTGTTCGTTACCAATGTCCATGGCCGGTGTGAATGCCACCGTAGCCTGTACCATGGGCGGTGATTTTACCAGAGGGACCAGCGATCACCACCGACCCAGCGTTGGGACCGGCTACCGCCGCGTTTCCAGCGTGAGGACCGGAAAGGACCGCACCGTGAGAGGCTGGTCCTGCGAGAACTGCACCGTGAGAGGCTGGTCCTGCGAGGACAGCACCGTGAGAGGCTGGTCCTGCGAGGACAGCACCGTGGGAAGCTGGTCCTGCTATCACTACTCCGTGAGCACCGGCTCCTGCGTATCCAGCGTAGCCTGGGTAGCCTGCGTATCCTGAGTATGCTGCTGCCGGTGCGACATATCCGACACCTGGAATGTCTTGGTTATGAGGAACGGGTAAAGAGGTGGGTCTACTCTGTTATCAGACAAATTTTGATTTGGAATATTTCAATAGGAATATGTGAATTTGAAAATTTCAATTTCGATGGACGGAATTTAAATATTCGACTTTTAATTGAAATATGTAACTTTGAATTTGAATATGAAAGTTCGATTTTTATAAAGAATTTACCAAGCCCTCCATCGTAGGGACCACCGTAACCCTCAACATGAGCCGGTCCAGCGACAGAAGCAGTGACAAGCGCAGATCCAGCAACCGCGCCGGAGACATGCACGGGTCCAGCCACGGATCCAGACAGCCTCGCTGGTCCTATAGAAGGAGCAGCCACCATGGTCGCGCCCAAATGAGGCCCAAGGACACTGGTTGGTCCCAGAGCCGGACCAGCGACTGCCACCCCATGAGAGTATCCAAGATGACCTCCGTATCCACCGTGGTACCCACCCCAAACAGCTTCTCGGCGTTCACGCGGCGTAGCTGCGACGAAGGCGAGCAGGGCTACGAATATCAACTGAAAATACCAATGTACCGGTGAGTCTTACCAAATTTACCCATGAAATATCTACAAAAAAGACACTCTGATCGAAGATGACAAGCTCGAATTCGCTCCCCACTTTAAGTCACAAACGTTAAAAAGGACGAAACTGTGCAAAAGATCTGAAACGTAAGAAATCACGTTGTTCACTGAACTTCATCTACACCGCGTGCTACGTCAGGAAATCCACTGTTCGATCGTTGCACGAAGATCTCGGAATACTTACGAGGGCCTTCATCTTGCCGACCGACCGATTGCTGAGTGTGCCCACGGACGACTTGGTCGGACTTTATATACCACTCCAGGATCTCGACCGCGCCCCCGGTTGATCCCTTCAAATCATATCCGCTGATGGTGCAGCCTCAGCCATTGTGCAAGAAGGTCAGCATCCGGCACACCCACCCTCGAGACACGGGTCCCTTGGTTGACCTTCGATCGTTGAGAAACACTCGTTTCCACTCGGAAAAGGAATCCGTCTCTCCTCGCATTTTTTCCCCTCCCCGATGTCTCTTCTCTCCGTCCTCTGTTTCGCAAATTACTCGACCGAAGGCATCCCGTGTTCCTCTGCCGCGCTCCATGCAAAGAGAGGAATAACCCCGTTGAACGAAGATTGATTTCGTCGAATCGATCGATCCCCGGTCCACGACAAAACGACCATCTTCACGGCTGATGGATCCCGTCAGAATAGGTTTATCGCATCACGACCCCGTTTTACGAGACAGAACTTCGTAACTAAAGGGACCGTCTTCCGTCCACGGAACTTGTGCCACTCGCTTTTGTGTCGACGAGGATAGTTGGATCGTTTCGTTGCACGCCGGTATAATGGGATCGCGCATTTCGTGCGGCCATTCGTGAGAACGTTTCGTCTTCGGTGATTCCTGTTGGTTTGCAACTTCTCTCGTGAATTCTTCCATCGATGGAACACTGTTTACCGTGGGTTCCGAAGGAAATACCACGGAATTTTTCGAAGGAAAAATTTGAAGAATGAGAGGACGTGAATGACATTTGCGCGAGGGTAGGAAAACTACGCGTGTCTCCTAGAGGAGATAAACGGTCGATTCAGAGAAGCAGGAACAAAGGAATCGATTAGCAAAAGCTGTGTAATTAACGTAATTTGCGATTTCTCCCGCGATAAAGTGGACGAATAACAGAGAAGTAACCGCTGGCTAGCAGGCGTGATCCTCGGCCTACGGTATAATTGGCCTGAATGTTTCAGGCGTAGCAACGTTGCTGTAATTATCGATTTATCGCGTCAATTAGGCTCCTCTTTTCCGTCCACCGTCAATTCTATTATATTAAATAAGAGGACTAATGGTCGGGTTCAGTTCGAAAGATTTTATCACACTTTTCGTAATTACATTTATACGCGAACATTCCTGCGGTGTCTATAGTTCTCGTATTTTGCATCGTTGCTGAAACATGCTCGTTGTTCTTCGCACCGAAACTCGTAGGCGGGTATGCGCGTCATCCTCGAGATTGTGAAGCAACCGATCGCGGCAAAACAAG